TAGACATCGAATTCAACGTATTATTACACCTGGACACCGAAAACTATGAAGCGCATTATCTGGATCTTGTCATCGGCAACCTGGGACATGTGGACATCGAATTAAAGGTATTAATACACGTAGACACCGAAAACTACGGAGCGCACTATCTGGACCTCGTCATCGGCAACCTGGGATACCTAGACATCGAATTCAAGCTTGATTCATAAGAATCAACTTAAAAATTCCCTAGCGGCACTTTCTGCCAAGCGTAGAGAACCTTCTTTTCCGGCAGCGGTGGTAATACGATGTAAGGGTACGAAATCTCTCCAGATAAACATGAAGCAATTGACTCAATATATATTATATAAGTATAATAAGTATATACCTAATAGGGTCCTCCACGATTTTTCGTTTTTTATTTTAAATTAAAGTTTTGATAGTAAAAACAACTATTACAATAACAAAAGTAATTAAAAATCGTTAAATAATTTTTTTAATGAGTTTGAAAATTGCGATTGATTTAAACGCCCAATTTTTCGCGCGCCTTGATGGCGTCGTCGATGTGACGTCATTATTCAGTAAACAGGTTAGATCGAGTAGACAGTTTGTATTGAAAGCATCAAAAATGACTGAAAATGCAGATTACGTACAAGATCCAGTAAAAAAACGCAATTACAAGTGGTGCTTTGTTCCCTTGTGTAAGAGTAAAACCATTTCTACGCCTTTAAAAATTTTTGTATCGGTGCCAAAAGGAGATATTAGGAAGAAATGGTTCGAAATCGCAAGACGGAATGATGCTTCATCGATATCGCTTAGCACCAGCTTGTTTTGCTGTCAAGATCATTTCCATGTAAGTTAAACTTTGTGAATAGATATATTTAACAAAACGTAATCGTGACATTCCGTTATAGTTGCAAGAAGATATAGAAAATTATACGAGAGTACGACTCGATCCAAATGCATCTGTACGACTGAAGAAAGGTGCACTACCTCGGATATTTAACTGTCAACCTGATAGACAACGTGCTCATGTGAAACCGACGCGTCCAGTAGCTCTGAAGCGCCAGAAAATAGAAACCTTAAACGAAATCCTACAAACTGAAACAGTAATTGATAGTAGCATGGAATGTGAATCCACAGAACCTATTACAATCGAGTCGTTGCATATTGACACCAACATTGGTAATTCAAGTAATATTAAAATGATTATTGAGCATATAATTTTCATTGAGTTAAACTATGTATAAATAAGATATTAATCATTCATCCACAGATGATTTTTCAACTACTCAACATCAGGTGGCTGCTGTTGAAATCGATTGGAGCAATGATGCAACACCAAAATGCAAGAATGTTGGTATTCAAGTAAAAATGCGTGACCATAAGACAATGCGTAGCAAGTATGTACAAAACGTGCCAGTGATGCAAGATGCTTCATGTTCGACGAAAAAACTCGTAAGCCAGCAAAAAACTGAGAATGTAATTGCATCATCTGAGTCAACATCGGCCAACACGAATGTGACAAGTACTCTCAATGATACACTGGATGATTGCGATGATGAATATCTACCATCTGAGGAAACAAGCGAAGAGGCAGTGAAGCAGAATATATTGGAGCAGAGGAGGTTAGCGAGGAATATAAAAATGACGACCATTCAAAATAAACCGAAAATGTACTTGGGTATTCCGGACAATGCCTTCTTTTTTATACAGCTTTTAAGCAAAAAAACGGGAATTAGTATAGAGGAAATTTGCTTAACGGTCACTAAAATTAAATTAAACGATACATTCGCAAGAATTGGAGATGATTTTGGAGTTAGTGCTAGTAACGCGAGTGCTGTTTTTAGAAGAACTCTCCCTATTGTAGCACATTATTTAAAACAATTAATAGTTTGGCCTTCAAAACAATCCATCAAATCGAATCTGCCTTTGCCATTTCGTGCTCGGTACAGTCATGTACAATCTATAATAGATTGTTTAGAAATTGAAATTCAGAAGCCTAGCAGTGCGATTAATCAAAGTGTTACGTGGTCTGAATACAAAAAATGTAATACAATAAAATACTTAATATCAATGTCACCGGATGGAACTATTAATTTTATATCAGAAGGTTTTTGTGGGAGGACATCCGATGCTGCGATCGTAGAACTCAGCCAGTATTTAAATGAGCTACCAAAAAACTGTGCAGTCATGGCTGATCGAGGTTTCAAAAACATTGAACATCTATTACAAAAAAAAGGATGTATTTTAATTCGACCGCCTAGTGTTTCGAGTAATTCAAAACCGACGAAGGAGGAAGTGATAGAGACTCGGCGTATCGCTAGCTTAAGAATTCATGTAGAAAGAGTTATTAGAAGAATAAGAGAATTTAATATTTTAAAGCCTCATTCTACCATTCATCATGATACAATAAACACCGTAGATGATATAATTATTGTGGCTGCAGGTTTAATTAATATTCAGTTACCACTTATAGCACAATAAATATTGAAAATATTTGCACGTTTATTAATTTTTTATAATAACCCTTCGCTTACATTCTACTTTGCTACTCCATTGAGAAGCAACGGAAAAACATTTTGTTTCCAAAAAGTCATGGCATTATTTATCATTTCCATTACGAATTGTTCGTCATAATTGACACAAATTACCATAATGCTTTGTGAAGTTTCAAAATCATGTTTTGCCATACAAAAATAACCTATTTTCACGTTTTGCATAAACATCTGCAACTGAATTTGAGCAAAATATTTATTGCCTATCTGATTGTCTTTCGTGATATACCTCTCCTCAGATTTTAAACTAAACGGACATTTTATTTCAACAACAAAGTTTTCGGCTACTGCATCAGGAGAAGCACCGATGACAGGAAAATTTGGATTTAACAGTAATCCACTACGGTGTAATGTAATTTGAAGACTTCTCTCCAATATCTTCACTACTTCCTGTTCCAAGCGTCTGCCTCGTTCCATGGCATCAGTATCTCTTATTTTGAATGCACCAATTATTTGCTCAACTAATGATCCTTGTGGTGTCTTGCAATGCGATACTTCGTATATCCGAGATGCAGTTATTCTCCCGTATCTTAATTCCTTCCATAATGTGGATTCACTTTGATGAATGGTATCCTTTGCAACTTCTTTGCATGATTCTATATTTATTTCGGAGCTTGCAAAGTTCAAAAAACTATCGGCATCTTTACACGTAGAGGTATTATAAAATTTTAACATTAATGAGTGCATCGATAAATCTCTATAAGATTTTACACGGACAAAATGCCTTGACAGTTGGCAGTCAAAATTTCTTTTTTCCATTTCTTGCAATACAGTCTGTAAGAAGCTAGTACTGTTTGGAAGAACTGGAGTTTGTTTTGATGGTAGCAAATCTTTTGCTTTCATGCTTCTTACATTAGCTCCAACTTGTGCCAATCGAGGTTTCTTCCAATAGCAGACCGTCGCTGTCGGTTCAGGCTCTTCGCTTCGACGGTGAACCCACATAAGGAAAGCGATGGCATGCTTACAACTACCTTAAATCACATAGAATTGCACAGTTAATATACACAATTAACGTTTTCTTTACTGCGTTAATTATAATTACCTTCTGAAGCTGCGCAGTCTTCGCACCTAATATATTCGACCCTCTCAGTTTTCTCGTTGACTAGCATCGATACAGCATACGCCTTATTGTTCACTCTGTGCTCAGGACAAACCTTTCCTCTGATATGGCATAAGCTTTTTTCCCGTCTCAATTCCACATATCCAACCGCTGGATCGCCGTAGTTTTCACCTTCAGCTCTACCAAAGTGTACATCGACAAGATGACAAGAGTGTATTAAAGGTTATGTCATGTATATGTTGTATATAATACTCAAATTACTTTGATATATCGTTAATAACACTTTGATATATCGTTTCATACTGTATCTTGTATCTGTCTATAAATTTTACTATTTATTTCCTGTTATTGCAAGTTTTTAAAAATATACTTACTTCTTAGCTTTTACACCACGAGTTTCTGCGATATTAAACACATCACTTTCAGCAAAAAAATCAGAAACCATTAATACTGTTACTTTGGGTAAGTTATCCGACTGTGCTTTAACAAATCCTGTGTTATTTTTTTTGCCACATTGCAACAAAACAATCGGTAAATACGTAAATACATAAAATACCGTATAGCAAAAATTTGAAATTACTGAATAATGACGTCACACGCGGTCTCAATCAATCACAGCGCGTTTTATCCCCTCTTTTTTTATATATATAAGCAGTTTTAATAATTTATATTAAAAAATTACATTGTTAATATCGTTCTAAAGTCGTTCCATTCAATTTGAACAAATATAAGGTTCATGAAAATAATTTTTTTAAATAACTTATTTTTTACAAATTGGACCCTATTTGCCTAAATAGAAATCTTCCTCCTGACCGATAAGTCTATCGACCTAATTTCGAAATACGCGCGCGATATCGAAACTGGCGATACCTGCGCCGCCAGCGGCGAAAAAGTGAAAGTGACGTTTCTCTGATAGATATGTCGCGGCGTTAGGAGGAGGAGGAGGAGGAGTAACTTAAAAATAAATTTTCATATTTGGACTTTGCGTCGCAATATCTCCGCTCGTAGGGCACGTAGCGGAATATTATAAGAGAAACCCCTCCCTAATTGGACCCCAAGCTATCGATCAAGCCTACTTAGAACTTGATCCGTTCACTCGTTATCGAGATCTCAACATCTCGGGTACTCGCAACCCGTCGCGTCGCGTAAAAGAGTCACGGTCGGTCTCGCTCCGCGTGTACTTGGCGCGAGACACTACCGTGTCTCTTGATAGATAAGATTGTTTTATTATATAGTGATGCTAATTAACAAATCGCTAATGGCTACGATTTTTCGCTGAATTCAATAGGCAGAAAATACAAATAAATTGCACTTATTTTCACAGTCATGCATAAATAAGCTTCTTGTACATACTATTTAACATATTATCATAAAACCCAGGTAGCACATACACGTTTCAGAAATGTTTTACAAGCGTTTTTCCGAAACGTTTTATAACCGATTTTTAGAAACGTTTCTCATGAGTAAAAATGTACATTCAAAAAACGTTCAATGAAATGTTTTTTTTCCGATAAAATAACGTTTAAAAACTTATTATAGAAACGTTTTGTTTTAATAATAAAAACATTTTCGATAAAGACATTTAAAATTCCTACTTTTTACGTCTATTGAACGTGTTTATGACGTCTTTGAGACATCCCTGGTAAAAGTTACCGTTAGAAACGGATAGAACGTGCATTCTATCCGTTTCTGACTGTTTTACTATGCGTTTCTTTCCTTGCAATTACGGATAGAAACAGATGAAAAGTGTTGCAGATTCTATAAGCCTGTGTACGCAAAGACGGTAGGAAAGGTTAACTGCATCTAACTGATTCCTAACGGAACGGAACTTATCCGAATTTATGCGCAAACGTAATTACGAATCCTATCCGTTTCTATACGCAACCAGTTTTAAATGTCTATCGGCATCTGATTGCAAAACCAGGCAGGATATCTATCTGCATTTGCATGCAATTATGATTTGCCCGCTCTATCCGTTTCTAACTGCAAATGCATATTATTCATTTCTTATTACTGCAAATACATGTACTGTGACGACAACGACGATGTCCGCCCGGTCTCGCCAGCCGGGCCGGAGCGCGCCGTTGCTTTTCTTTATTAAAGGCCCCTAAAGCTGTCTATAATTATTTTTCCGGGATCGCGATAATTCTCTCCGAAACCCTGATGGTAGCTCGACTGAATTTTGTTGGGCGCCAGGTGCGATTCCTCACACCACGATATACGCATCGCAGTTTTCTCAGGCGTGAGTTTCGTCGATTAATCGCGGGTGGAAGAGGAGAGATAGCGTGGCGCAATTAACACACTCGAATCACAGGTCCATAACAAGAAAATAATATATTTAAGGCAGTGGAACGGTAAACACAGGTAAACATGCCAGAGAATTTTAAGCGTCGTACAGCAGGTCCAAGCGGGCGCGGAAAGTTACGCCACGGGTGCCACAGGCACGTCCTCGCCAAGTGGTGTAGCGATCCCGCTCGATTTCGCTCTAATATTTCCCGACATAAGTCATATGGAATCCACCCTTACTCTCGCGGCATCGCTCTACGTACGATTACTCCCTCCCTGAATCTCGCGGTACGCGCGACTTATTTTTACGCGGAGGGGCCGCTTCCCCTCGCTGGAACGCAGTTCACTTACAATTAACATTTACTTACAACTAACACAAGATAACCGAACGAGTCATACGCAACGCTAACGGCTTCGGTGCCGACTTCTTATGTACACGAAACGCCGGTGGCCTTAAATTACACGCGCACGAGGCCACTTTACAAAGCCGGAATGGCCGCCCCGCTCACGCGCGTGGGCGAGCCCCGAATCGACCGCGGATCGCACGATCACGCGAGTCCCGAATTCCTCGCGAATCTCCTGATTACGCGATTCCCGAAACGACCGCGAACCTCCCGGTTACGCGAGTCCCAAAAAACGTGGCTACGGAGACGCCCCGTGTCACAGCGCGATCACGTGAGGCTCACGCCGGACTCGTCCCGCTACGCAACACGACACGGTTCAC